CAAAAGGCTCGAATAATAAACAGTTGGGCCATGGACGCTCTGTTTTGACTACTTCCATTGGCTATTGTAGTGTGGAAGCAGCCTTAGGTAATAGGTAAATGAATGGGTGTGGTTGTGTGCCAGTAGAACTTTATTTGAAAACCTGTGCTACAAGCCTGAATTTGCTGATTCTGAATGATCATGCTGGCATTATTGGTACTGGGGACCGTCAGACTGTAGTGTTAGGCTCTTGTTGAAGTTTCTCTGTCTTGGAAACCAATTTTCAGATACCTGGATAGTGTGAATGTAAGATTTGAATTACTTATATTGAACATCTATTTGTGTAGAATGTTGGCAGGTAGGGGGAGCTACATGTTTCCCAATAAAGTTTTCTTCGTACTGGTTAATTTTAGAGTTAACAATGCAAAACTGTACCTAATTAAGTGCCAGATTGTGTGAATCAAGTTAAAAATGATAAGGAATTTCCAATAGAGTAATTTGATTAGATTAAATAATCTTCCTATGTTTGTAATTGTCAAGTGAACTAAATTGGAATTAAGGATCCTTCCAGTCTGAAAGTATTTGATCTTGAGATCAAATCACATGTTTATGGGGCTGATGAAGAGACTTGGTTAACTAGGACAGAAAATACATGTTGAGAGAAGTAAGTTGTAATATGACAGAAAATTCTGCAAAGTCCTGAAAACCAAGAACTTCATTTTTTTATATCATAGGTGCAAAGAGACATTAAAAGATTTTGATGATAAGACCATCATTACATTAGTGGTGTAAACATTAATCTGGCAATAGTTTTCCTCCAACAGAAATTTAAAGCCCACATACATTATGCTCATTTAGTGTTGAACTGTGTTGGACTGTGATTCAGAAAAAGAAATTGGCCCTGCTGTGAAGAAGAGTGGAGAGGACAACATGTTCTTTTGTCTACAAATATGACAGAACGTATCAGGTACAGGCTAGGCAAGGATGTCAGGGAGTTATCTCAGTACTGATAGTACTGTTAGAGTTGTTGAGGGCCTGGGAACGCAAAAAGTAGAGTAAACTATTAAAATAAGTGATTCAAAGGAGACATTTAGGCTGGAAATCAATTAAGAGATACTGAAAGAAAAAAGCTAACTCTTAGGATTTAAATCTAGGATTTAAAAAAGTTGGGAGGAAAATTTAAATGGTAAAATGTGTGAATTTTGAGTTTACCATTTGAATTACTTTTTATGTGATTACTTTTCTTTTTTAATTCATCCTTAGTTACTTCTGACAACCTTTTATCCAAAATGTGTCCCTCACATCTCATGCATTAGATTTAGCAATGTTTCATTTCTTAGCTTTGCTTTAACCAAATATTGTTATGGTCTGCCCCCGCAAGATTTCATTTTTTACTTTAACCAAATCTCTGTTATATATGTCTGCTGGTGTTAAAGCCTGAAAGCTTCTGTTTTCAGTTACTATTAAGACTCATTCTGTCCCTTTTAATTCTTAGCAGGAAAACTATTTCAGTTGACAAAAAAGGTAACAGATAACAGAATCTTCTGAAGAAGTATTTCAATATGATACTGCTATCTGTAGAATGTTGTTAGTCTAGAGTTACAACCACATTCTGTTGAAATATTCTGACTACTGGGAATGTGCTGTTCTCAGCAATCAGGTTAGCTTAGGGTTGGCCTACAGTTGAAGGATGAGGTATAGTATCTCTTAACTATATTTGATGTGGATTTAACTTTTTTTTTTTTTTGTATGGAGATCAAACTCACAGCCCTGTGATGCCGCTGAGCAAAAACCCTGGTCCTGATTTAGCTTTTACTTATCTGACTTTCCCCCATTTCTTAATGTTATTCTACATTTAACTTACTTTTGAGGGAGGGGTACCAGGAATTGAATACAGGACCTCACGCTAGGTGATGTGCCACTGAGCTAAATCCTCGGCCCTTTAACTTACTATTTTAATTTAATATTTGTTTTGAAATGACTTCAGATGTACAGAAGAATTGAAAGAATAGTGCAAAAAATACCTTTATGCCCTTCACACAGATGCACTAATGTTAGAAAATGCAGATATGATAACATTTGGGTTATATGTACACACAATCACATACTTTCATTTACTTATTTTTTTCTGACTCATTTGAAATCTACAGACATAGTGTTCCTTCAGTCTAAATGTTTAGTGCATGTCTCCAAGCAGCAAAGACCTTATTCTAAAAGCCATGGTATGAACTATCAAAGTCAGAAAATTTAAAGGATTATCCCTCTGCAGTGGAATGCTATGTATGCTATGTGTTGATAAAGGGAAATGTTAGTTTATTCGACAACATGAATAGATTATATTGTGGTAAGTGAACAAAACCAGATTCAAAAGTTTGCATTTTATACAAGTCAATCTATATGACATTCTGGAAAAGGCAAAAGTACTGGGCTTAGAGAAAACAGTCACTGACTTCCAGTGGTGATGGGAGATGCTGCCTATAAAGGAGCGGCACAGGGGTGCCAGGGCAGGACAGGCTGGTTGCATACTTGTGACAGAGTTATACCATTGTATGCTTTTTAACAATAATTGTGTACTTTTATCAAAACTTACATAGAACCATATACCAAAAAAGGTTGAATTTTCTTATATGTAAATTTTAAAAGTAGGGAAACAATTCTAGAATTTAATATGGATAGTGTAGTCAGTACATCTACTTGTGTTTCTCAGATTTTTTTTTCCAGTTGCCCCAATAAGTCCTTTTTATGGGAAAAGGAGATCTTAGATCACAAAATTGTTACATCTCTTTGATTTCCTTTGATCTGAAATGTTTTCTCTCGTTACTGTTGTTGTTGTTGTTGAAACTGTTGTGATTCTATAAGATATCCTTCATTTTGGGTTAGTCTCGTATTTTCTTATGAGTAGATTCAGATTTTGTGTTTATGGCTAAGGATACCAGAGAAATAATGCTATTTTCTTCTCAGTACACCATATCAGATGGCACATAAAGTAGTTTCTACCAGTTTCTCTGTAAAGTCACTGTTTTCCATTTGTAGTTATTAAATGTACTATGAAGAAATATTTTGAGATTATACAGCTATCCTACCACTTACCAAACTTACACCTGCTAATTTTAGCACCTAAAGATCATTTCTTGTTTGTATCACTAGTTACTCTTAAATAGAATTTAACTTGTTGACCCAGGCAACTAAGCACACTGCATGTTGGGATTCCTTACGATAAGGTGCAAGTAGTGACACTTGGTGAGCTCTCTTGAGTGATGCTGAAGAGCCTGTAGAACTACTAAGGTAATCACTTAGGGATAAATTGGTATTTCATTACTCCCAGCCACCCTTTCACTAGCATTCAGCTTCTCCTCATCACTGGTAGAAGCCTAGTGATTTCTTATCCTTGATATCCTGTTTAATGCTTCTACCTTTGTCTTATGTAACAATAGTTTTGGATTTTTTATTTCTCATGATGGATGGTCCAGAGTAAAAATGTTGGGTTGATCTGTTAAAAAAAGAGCTAGAAGCCAGGTGTAGTGGCACACACCTGAAATCCCAAGTGTCTGGAAGCCCAAGCAGAAGGATCGCCATGAGTTTGAAGCCAACCTGGGCTGTATAAACAAGTTCAAGGCCAGCCTGCACTATATAGTGAGACCCTGTCTCAAAAACAGATAATTAAAATAAGATAAAATGAACTAAGACTAGGTATAACAATGTTAATATTTTTCTTCCTTTTTCTTGTTTGTTGGTGTTTTCAACAACACCTTCTGTTTTCCTCATTTGTCATGTTTTATAGTCATTCAGGAAGGAAAAGAAGTTAGAACTCTGCAGTTCTTGGGTTTCCATCCCTTTTCTTGTCATATGATGTACTTTTCTTCATCTTAACTTTAGGGACTTTTACCATAAAATGGTCATCACAGATGTAAAATACCAAGTTAAGTCCTATAAGAGATTTCTGACCCAAAGGAACAGTTTGGGGTCCTGGCCTATCAAGGCAGCAAACAGTGACATACACAGCCAACACATGCTAGCCACAGTGGCAAAAGAACCTTAAACGTTAGTACATTTTCTTTTTTATTTTCATCTTTCAATATCTTTTAAAATATCATAGCTGATACAAGCCAGAAAAGTGTTAACTTATATTTAGGTTCAAAACAGTAATTATTAGAATAATTTCCTACTTGTATAAAAATATTTGATAAATATTCCTCACATAGGAAATAATTTCTGGGTCTAGAAATAAGTAATTCTTTAGTTAGAATGTAATGATTATATGTAACACAATTAATATGTCACCAGTAAATTTTAAAATGTTAGTTACAAATGTAATTGTGTAATTGTAATAGAAGCCAAATAATATGCAGTTTAAATTTTCTGTATTTTGTCTTAAAGGTAGTGATTTACATTATATAGACTAGCAGATTTTGAGCTCAATTTTTAATGACTTTTTTCACTTTTCATGGTATATAAAAATTCTATTGACATTTTAGGTTTTTTTAGTTACCATTTGAAGTAATAATGACAAGAAATAGACTTTCTTGTGCTAAGGACTGTGCTACCTTAATTTAAGAAAAGAAAATCAAATCTGAGTAGAGGAAGAGAAAACTATTTTTTAGGACCTAAACTTGGAGATCGATACACCCCAAACATTCACAGTAGTTGAAAACTACTTAAAAGAGAAGGTAATGATCCTGGTCTAAATTGTCATCAGCTAAGTGTGAGCTGAACTTTGTTGTGTCTAGTGTCTACCTGTGTTGAGGGGTGACAAATTTGACTTCCAAGTCAATAAGATGTCATGGGCAGGCATAAACAGATGAGATACTTCCATTCATATCTGACATACATTCATTTATATACATGGTATCTCTTTTCCTTTATGTATCTGTGGGTTGGTATCCATGTAAAACTTCAAATGAATGAATGCATAAATATACATGGTGATATAGCTTACAGAGTTAGAAATGTAATTCCATTTACTCCCGCAGAATAAGATTGAAGTTAATAAGAACTGAATTAAAGCTTACTTTCTTTCACAGAATTCCTCAGAGAGAGAAGACTGTAATAATGATGAACCCCCTAGGAAGATAATACCAGAGAAGAATTCACTTAGACAGGTATGAAATTCAGACTTACTTAAAAATAAAAGTGACCAACAGCAAAACAAGAGATAGGAAACCCTTGATTTGCCATTCTTTAAACACTGGAGCTTGAAGGAGAGCCCTGTGCTCTCAAGTTGGTCTGACCATAGCTGTCAGCTTCATTCAGGTGACACTGTTTTGCAGTCATTTCAAAAAATCCTAGGTGTGACAGTATAAAATAAATGGTTGATTGCATGTAGTGAATATTAATGAGAAGAAAAGGTTTCTTGTTTCAGGGAAAAGAACTAAAGTGAATTTTAAATACAGATGGTAGAATAGTTGGCTCTAAAACCTAATTTCCTGTTAAGATTGCTTATACATTTTTTAAAAAGTCAAAAAAGATTTGCCTGTAATTAGCTACTTTTATTTTGTTTGCAGTTAGTAGGAATAGAGGCTTTATGGCCGGTACTGGGGACCAAAACCAGGACTTTGCAAATCCTAGGCAAGCACTGTACCATTGAGGTATATCCCAGTCCTTTTTCAATTTTATTCTGAGACAAAATCTACATTGCCCAGACTGCCATCCAACTTGTGGTCCTCCTGCCTCAGCTTCCAGTGCAGTTGGGATTATAGGTGTGCTCCGTGACATCAGCGTGGCCACTGCTGGCTCATTTACAATATAAACATGCGTATATATCTGCCTTATTTCCAGAAAAGCAGCACATTTCACTGAAAAGGCTCATTCCATGATGCTCTTTTTAATTGAGTGATTGGTCTTTCCAGACAGGGTCTCACTGTGTAGTGCAGACTTGCCTTGAGCTCACTGTGTCACACAGGCTGCCTCAGCCTCCTGAATACTCGAACTATAGGTGTGTACCACCATGCCTGATTTTTTCTTTAATATTAAAGTATCCAAAATACTGGCCAGAAATTTTCCGTTTTCACTGTCTCTAGCTGCCTTTAACATCTCTCTTCTTTATTGAAAACAATGACAAGTACATGAGTTTTGCCAGAAATGAGCATGTGCCATCCACTTCTGTTGTTCTATTACTAGGAAGTAAACCTGGAACCCTCACACTGAGTTACTTTTTGAAATGTTTTTCAGCAGGAATGGTAGCACATGCCTATAATCCCAGTATTCGGGAGACTGAGGCAGGAGAATCACTGTGAGTTTGAGGGCAGCCTGAACTACATAGCAGGACCCTCTCTTACAAAAATCACTAAATTGCCTAGGTTGGGTTCCAGCTTGCATTTCTTCTGCCTCAGCCTCCCAGAGTGCTGGTATTTCAGATATGTACCACAACCCTCAGCCAGCCTATTCATTTTAAATGTAAATTGAGTAAAATCTACACCAATAACAGTAAAAATTATTTTAATTACTAGCATTTGGGTCATTGTTCTAGGACATCGAAAAGAAATATTTGTTGAGCACCTACCATGAACATAATACTTGTTTAATTCCCTCAGTAACCCTGTAAAATTGCTAGATATGGTATAATTCCCCCCCCCCTTTTTTTTCTTTTGTACCAGGAATCAGTCTTAGGACCTTGCCCTTGTCAGGCAGGCACTTGTGTCACTGAGCTGGCACTGTCTTAAAATAGGTTAGATGACTTTAGTAACAGAGTGATTTGAAGCTCAGAACTCACTGTTGCCAAAGTGTTTTTGCCTCTGCCTTCTGACTCCAGTTTGCATATGTTTAATTTAGGAAGAAAAGTACTTGAGACTGTGACCCATTCATTTTAAAATTTACTATGGACAGTATTTTCTCCTTTTTTAATAAAAATAATTGTTTTAAGTGGAAGTGAGTCAACTCAGGAAGCTTTGTAAATAAACATGTCAGTAATTGAGGTTGAAATAGTTTTAACTATTTAGAGATAAATACCTGATCTATAAATCTAAATCAGTAGGACACTACTGAGTAAAATGCATTTGGAAGTTGAAACACTGCCCACTGTACAGAAACAATTGTAAGAAAACAAAGACACAACAAAAAGTTTTGGCAACTTTATTTAAGCTAACAAACGAATTTTCACTCTGCAAAGTTATAAATTAATTTTAATAGGCTGATCCAGATGGTCCATTTGGAAAATGGATAGGCTGATCTGTTGAAAATTAAACTAAATTTATCTCTCTCATACTTCAAACTGAAGTGAGAGAGAGAGTTGTGCCTATTAAGTCCAGCACATGCAGATGGACCAGCAGGTCACACATGGGACTAATCTGATTCATTTTAAAAATAAATGCAAACATTATTGAATCACTTTATACTTACAAGATCTGTTGTGTGCAATATTTGAAAGAGATTTAATGCTGTTTTTTCATTGCTGTTTTAGCAGATTCTCTTCATCCTCTCAATTTTAATTTACCAACTTCCCCCTTCCTCTTGGTGCTCCAAAATGATTTTTATAATATCTGTCATTCAGTGTTCAGATCCAAACTCTAGAGATTAATTAGGTCAAGATCCCCCCACCCGAACCTTTCTTTGTGAATGGTTTTATCTCCATTCTTTTTGTGAAGAGCATGAACTCGGTTTTTAGAAAGAGAAATGGCCTTTAGAAACAGGGAAGGGGGAGATCCTCTGGGGCCCTCAGAGTCTTTTAGCTTCTGGGTGTTTTAATAGCCCCATAAATGCAGATTTGTAAATTTATTGCAGTGCCATCTGGTTTTGTGCTTGAACCAGATTACTGTTGGCTTGTGTCTGTCTATTGTGGTGGTCACTCCCTGGGAGTTTGCCCTCTCAATCTTAGGAGTGATGAATAGCAGGGGTCGATGCAAGCGGGTCACAGGGCAGCTGTTCAAGACTGCCCTGAACTTGATTACCCCACCAATGATGTTTTTTTTTTTAGGCTGGACTTAATACTATACAAACTGTTTAATCTCTTCCTTTTCTCATCTACAAATGACAGTAAGGAAAGGTCATTTGCTGCTTTGTTTGTTTGTTTCCCCTGTGGTCTTGTTCTATAGACAAAAAGGTCACCCACTTATATCTACTGTTGATGTGAGATTGGTGTTGTGAGAGTCAGTCCTTTAACTTGAGATTCTTTTGTGATATTTAAGTGGGATTTCAGAAATTCTTTTCATCATTGAGTCTAAAAAGTTCAGTTATGTTCTAACAACTTCATATTGTTTTAAACTAAGATATACTTTGGATTTTTAATTCTAAGTAGAGTTTTGCCATTGACGGGATATGACCACATGTTAATTTTGTTTTGGTTTGATTTGGTTTTTTAGGTACCAGGGATCGAGCGAATGAGCTTGCGCTTGCCAGGCAGGCACTTACATGCCACTGAGCTAAATCCCTGGCCCTCACATGTTAATTTGCAGAGCTATTTAAATATTGGAGGAGCTGAAAGAAGAGTTATCACATAGTTTTTACATACATTAAAAGAATAATAATGGGATATGTCAGAAATTTGTCAGCTAAAATAAAATAGACAAATTTGTTGAAAAATATAATTTAAAATTAACACAGAATGAGAAAATTAAAATAGCCCTATGTCTGTTGCATACATTAATTATCAAATGATCATATGGTTTTACTAGTGATTTCAACAAACATTTGAGAAAGGAGTAATAACAATCTTACACAGAATCTTGCTGAAAACAGAGAAGGAAAGAATACTTCCTGACTTGTAAAAACCACCATAACAGCAGTTCCAAATCTAACATAGACATTATTACTAGAAAAGGAAATATGGAGAAGATAGTTAGAACGTGTTACCTCCTATCCCCAAGTCACTTTATATGCCTATTTTTTCATCTTCCAGGGTATCAGGGCATGATGGGCATAAATTGTGCATCCTTATAAAGTGCATTTTTATGGTATAGAATAATCTCATCTTGGTATTAAGTGCAAACTTTTATTTAGAACATGGTACAGAGTAGATAGGGTTTTCCCCCCTACTTTTCTACTAAAATGCAAAGCCAAAAAAAATAAAGAAAGAAAGAATCATAGCTACTGTTATTTCATAGCTCTTACAGAGGGCAAAGGCCTGGCAGGATACATGAAAGTACTCACTACTTTTTGAAAATGTAGCATTACAACATGCAACTCTTCTTTGCTTCACATTGGTGCTAATGGGATCTGTCAGTCCAGCCTTTCTCTGTAATTGAGTAAATTGTGACCCCTGTCTAATCCTTCTCCCATCCCCCATTTCCTTTGTGTTTGTGTCCACTTTCTGTCCTGGGAAGTGGGCAGCGATAAATAAAGCATTGAGTAGAGCTCTCTGAACTCTTTGAAAGCAGCATGATGCCAGCCCTCTAGTTATATTTCTTTAAGTGTTTACATTTTTCTGTAGTCTCTCTCTTGTGTGGCTGGAACCCTGGGGATGCAAAGCCATGAGAAAGAGGCCAAGAAGCTAACAAAGTAGCTGTCTCTCTTGTTAGCTTGTTCCTTTATTCTTTAAAAACAAGATAAAAACCATGTGGCTCAGGGCATTACATTTTCCTCCCTTGTGCAACTCTATACAGGAAACTTCACCTGCAGTGAGGGTTTACATTGATTTGGGAGGGAGCAGTAATTCAAGCTTCCATCCTCTTCAAGGATACTTTGCAGTCTTAAAGGTGCTGACCCACCTAGTTAAAGTGTCAAGGGAGGATAAAAAAGTGTCTTTCTCCTAGAAGGTAGCAGCTGCGAGGTTTTCAGCACCTTGCACACTACTGGAAAAATGTCACAATTGTCAGCTGAAATAAAAATGACCCTGTTGTCATCTTCTGTTAATGACTGGGCCTTACAAAAAGAACAGCATTGCCTTTTAGAAGGAGCAAGAGGCTGTTTTCCTGCCTACTATATCTCCCTCCCCTCAAAAATATCTGCTGTCTGTTCTCACCTTGGAGTAGATTTACAAAAACCAGTGAGGTGCTCAAAGTTAAAACATTCAGGATAAGCATGACAGTCTAATGGACATAGCTTCTCTCTACATTTGGATGAGTTGGAGGAAAAAGCACATCACTGACACAGAAAATGACATTGTAGTGTGTATTAACAAAACAACAACAAAAAGTCATTCATAAGCCAGTGAACTGAGAGGAAACAT